ATATCTTTTCCCATCAACATGGAGGTAAAGCTAACAAATAAGCAAGAACAAAGAGACAAGAAATGCTAATTGGTAAAATTATTGACTCAATTAATTTAAGAAACATCTGATTTGTCCCAAAATGGTGATCTTGTAGTGTATAAAGGAGCATTGTGATTATATTTCTTTTGTGACAGGGATCTGTGCTGTGTCCAAATGTTAGCTGACTTTGCAATCTTGTGCCCAGGAAACAGGTCATTTTGATAAGGAGATGAGAAATGCAGTTGCTCGAAGTGAGGTAAGATATGCACATGTTCATCCTATTTATGAGTTTACCATCTTAAGTGTCATCAAAGTTGAAATCATAGCACCGGGCAGGATTGAAGTTGGTACACATGATATTGTAATACATAACGCACTTGGACAATACAATCATTTACATTGCAGTATTCTTTGACATTACTTCTGAAAAAAAGATGTATGGAAAAATATTTGTTATTGTGTGCATTGTTTTGAATATGGTCCAAATCATCACATTTCAAGACTTCTTTAAGGAGGATCCTTGATATATTACCTAGTCATCCTATTATTGTCTATGCTTCTATTGCAGTTAGATGTTCTATATTCTTACCATTTTCTTCTAACATTACAGTTCTCTGAAGGATAGAAATAAAACAAATATCTGCCTTTAAATTTCCTTAATGATTCCTCATGTTCCTGGCTACCTATTAATATTGCCATCCTGCATTTGCTGATTTAAAGTCTAAAGAAATGCTGGCTGTCAAAAGTTGTTGTATGAGATGCTGTGTTATTTTTATGATTCCCTTGAACTTTGAAGTCCATAGAAAAGCCTTTTGACTTGCTAGGAAGCTGCAGTAGTATCTCCTGCTGACCATAACTTTTCCTTTACATAAAGTTCTTGTTGTAGCCACTGTAGCAATTTTATGTGCTAGAATCTGTGTCAGTAAAAAAAAATCTAAAATTACATCTTTATGTCTTATTAATAAGATCTTAGCCTCTATTCTCTAAGCCCTCGATTTTTATTTGAGACAAAAATTTGTTTCTTTCAGTTCTTTCCTTTTTTGTATTCCCATGGAGCTATTTTCGTATTTATGTTGCTTGTCCATTTTGAGTAACATGATATCCACCTTGTTTAAGTATATTATGTGGTGTATTGAAAATGTAGGGTTCATGGTCTAGATCTTCACATTCTCGTTCCGCTACAGATAAAGCACCAATGGTGCCATTAAGATATGGAGATCAGGAAATAGATATTGAATTATTGAAGACAGGAGAAAAAATTGCATCAGGATCTTGTGGACATTTGTAAGTTTGGGTTCATATGGACTTGTACTTTGATCAACTCTGTTCTTTGTTGTCCTTTTTTTTTTCTCACTCTTCTCTTTTATTCATGTGAAGATATCATGGTGTCTACCACGGTCAAGATGTTGCTGTTAAAATTCTTAGATCTGAGCATTTGAATGATGCTCTACAAGTTGAGTTCGCTCAAGAGGTTGCAATTTTAAGGTGAGAAGTCGGAAGCTGTTAGCTTATATTTGATGTTATACTTTGTGATCAAGCTTATCTCAATCAAATTATTCTAAAGAAGAAAAAGGAAAATTTTATTTGTTCTTAAGAACTAGCTGACTGGGTCTAGCTGGTATGTGTTAGGTTCCACTTGTTAATAATAAAAAATTTTGACTTTAGCCTTTGTGGAAGTAACCTTTCCTTTCTTCTAAAGAAGAAAAATTCTTTTGCATGTATTTCTCTGCTCAGCGGTTAATTAGTTTATATTGTCCTTCAATTGTCGACTCAGTTGCTTGGCTGCTAGGATCTTCTGTACTTTGATTTGCTGCTGCTAGTATGTTTATCTATCACTTATTTTGTTTATTTATTTAAAAATTCAGTCAAGTTTTGAATTTTCTCACTAATGAATAAAATAATGAAAGGATTTGTTTGCATGTAAGCAAACCGTTTTTTTCCTCTGTTGAACCAATCGCCTATTTGATAATAGTTGGCCCGCAGAGGGAGACTGACAGACAAGTTTCTTGGGTGATGGATGAATAGGCGAATTTAAGTGTTAAATAAGGAGGATCCTTAGCTATATTACCTTAATCTAGCCTATGAATGAAAATGAATTTTACAATTTTATGCTAGAAGAATTTTCTATCAATCTTCTATATCTTGAATTAATCTTCAGTTCATTGTCATAGAGAAATTTACTGTATTGCTCCCTTCTTTTGCACAAGTACAGAGCAGTTGAGCATCCAAATGTTGTTCGTTTTATTGGTGCCTGTACAGAGTCTACACATTTGTGTATAGTGACAGGTACTGAAACTTCTAAATTGTTAAACTTTTTCCCATTGGCTTTGAGTTTCTTCTCGAATATTTCCACCATGCCCTGTTGACCTGATGCTTAATGTTCTATTACTTCGTTTTTCTTTTGGTAACTAATGTAAAGAGAAAAACAAATACTATTTCTTTGGCTGCAATTGCCAACCAATTTTTTTTTTTTTTTTAATGATCTAATTTTACACTCTTGTTTTACTGTTACGCACTTACAGTGAAGCTTGTTTATTGCTTGCAGAGTATATGTCTGGGGGAAGTTTGTATGATTATCTGCATAAGAATCATAACATTTTGAAGCTCTGTGAACTGCTGAAGTTTGCTCTTGATATTTGCAAAGGAATGGAGTATTTACATCAAAAAAATATAATTCACAGGGACCTCAAGACAGCAAATTTGCTGATGGATAGCAACAATGTACGTAAGAACTTCTGAATATTATTGTTTTGATTTTAATTATATAGTCCTATTGCTTTCAATCAGAGACAAGGGTTTAGTTTATCCAATTTTGCAATAATAAAATTATTCTTGGTGTTGTACCCTGAATAGATTATCAAGTTGTACTCATAAACTTGCTGATCAGAAAAAAGTTATACTCATAAACCACAACCTAAGCCTCAGCGCTTGGTTCAGAAAAGCATAAAGCTTCAAAAGAACTGGGTTTTTCAACATTAAACTTTTAACTGCTTCAGTCTATAGGAATTGATTAACCATGTAAATTTGCATTGGCTGTGGATTGTATACATCACAGTTTAAAGAGAATAATATTTTCTATTGCAAGGGCTGAGAACTGTGTATTTTT